ACAAATGCCGACCGAAGAGCATTAAGAAGAATAATCGTGAAAAACAAGCGTGCCAATTATTTACAATTAAATGCTCTGTGGAGTGACGCTGTTGGAAGGAGAATTTCGAAGTCCACAATTAATAGAGAGGCCCACAAACTGGGATTTAGCACCTGCAAGGTAAGTTTTCTTATAAAAAAAAGTGAAGTAAAAACCCTAAAGTTGCACAACTTGTTTACAGGCCAAAGAAAAGCCACTATTAACTCCACTGCAAAAGAAAAAACGGCTTAGATGGGCTAAAGAACATAGACAATGGACACCTCAACAATGGTGTGCAATACAATGGAGTGATGAGGCCCGATTCGAAGTTTGTGTTGGTGACAGTCGCAGTAGAGTTATTCGCAAAAAAAATGAAGCATTCCATGTTGACTGTCTGAAGAGAAAAGTGAAATTTCCAGCATCCCTTAAGGTCTGGGGCAGTATGTCATCAAAAGGAAAACTTCATTTTATTGATGGAAATGTCGATAAAAACAAATATTTGGCAATGTTAGAAGAATCGCTTTTACCAGTGATGGAAGAATGTTTGACATCCGGCCAAGATTTTGTGTTTCAGCAAAATGGTGCAGCGTGCCATACCTAAAATACAATACAATGGATGGAAGAAAATAATATACCACTTTTGAAATGGGTTTCTAGCAGTCCAGATCTGTCACCTATTGAAACTTTGTGGAACGAGATGAAAAAGGTTCTATGACAACATCCTGCTCCTACAATCACCGATCTGTGACAAAAGCTTCAAGAAATATGGGATTGTTTTACACCAAATTTTTTCCAGAACTTGGTTAATACTATGCCCCAAAGAATTTCAGCCGTAATAAAAAATACAGGTATTGTTACCCAATGGTAATCTTTCAATTGTTGCTTTGTTAACTTCGCGCATTTATTCGCACATTGTTTATTTGTTCAGATGTTCTATTAGTTATAGGTCTAAGTGATTTCAAATATGTATTTTTTACGACTAGGGTGTATCTAAAATGTTTTTGAGAAAATAAATTGTTTTAGAAGTAAATAGTTTCATCATGTTTAGTTTATAAAGACATATTTTGGTACAAATCTTGAAGTGGGCCAACTGAATTGGGAAGGGGCTCGTATGTTTCGATTTTGGTCCAATACCTTCAACATTTTTGAGGCAAAAATAGCAATCAGTAGTATGGTCTATCGGTTCTCTCCAAACCATTGGTAAGGCAAAGGGCATTTTACGATTGTCGTCTCTTAACCAATCTGTTAACAACGTTACATAGGTCTTACAACATATATGAGGGGCCCATAGTTTATCTTGCTTTAATTCCAAAATCAAGTTCATATGCTTTCAACACAAGCGGAGTAAAAGTACGTTTTTGCGATTTAAGAGTTAGCTCTCCGCACACATAACAAAATATGTTCGCACTATTTACATAATTTCTAGGCATTGTCCATAAAGCTAGTCTCGATCACAATAAACCAAAAACAACACACCGTTTTAACAAAAAATAACGGTACTCGGAAAATCTCAGGTACTCTTCAACACAGAAAACGTAACAGACTCGGCTGATATTAGTCTACTAATAAACGCAATTTGCTCTCTGAGCATAGAGCTCGCGTATAATAAACAGGAATAGACAGGTCTTAACATTATATATGTGCGTCCTCGCATAAACACCGAGAAATGCAACAATATGAGAGTTACGTATTGTAATTCATAAAAGTAGAGGATACCGAATATGTGTGGGTGATGAAAGAATTCAGTTTTTAGATTTGATTTGAGGGTCTCAAAATACATAAGATACACCCAATTATTGTCATGTCACAAATCCTGTGTTTATCAGTGTAATGGGTGAAGCTGCCGAAATACAGTTTCAAATTTAGTTTTTAACGGTTCAATATGATTTCGCCAAGTCATCCCTTTATCCAAAGTGGCACCGAGATAGCGGAGCTTTCTCAATGTATACGAAACTCATTCGTTGAAACCTCAGACATGAAATCGAACAAGCATACACGATATTATTCAGATGTCAGAGCCACTACACGACTTCTGTCCTTTGACGAATTTGACCGTCAATCAAGCAGAAGTATCAAGTTAAAGCAATTTCAATAAACGAAAATTTTTAGAATTGTCATACAATAATAATAATGAAAGGCAAAATCAATGGCAACCATTTTACATCTGCGTGAAATACCTAGGAAAGCGTTAACCTGCTGGCACGCAAAAATTAAATATTTATAGTGAATATACTAAATTACTCTCACGCAATTTGCAAACATTTGTGGTAGCTAATTGCATGCAAACTATTTATATTTAATCGCTGGAATTTTTCGGTCGATTACGGTATTGTCGAAGTTTCCATTTGAAAATATTAAATATGTGTGGAGGCCATTTATGCACCTTACTACATCTGCTTGTTGCAAAAGGGAGTGAACTTGCGCACCATATATGGGCTGCCGCTAGTGAAAACCATGGAATAAGAACTAAGGGTCGTATCATCAGTCGTTCCTACAATAACTGTAGGACGCCTTTGTGGCCTCCTTTATAGTTTTCTACTGTTCCATTTCAGCCTCTATTTTGAGGTTATTTTACAAATATCTGTTTGCATCAAGTTATTCAAGTTTTTAGGTTATATCATCTGTTTTGTTAGACTGAATTTCCCACACTTGAAATAGAAAACGCAGCTTCACAATACGAGAGCGCTGACGCTGACACCGAACAGTAGAAATATAGAAATACACCAGCTCTTTTATGTATGATGCAGCTTCTCTACATTTTTTCTTTGAAACAAGTCCTTATTCAATAGTCAATTTCCACAAATTCTATAGAAAATAAAGGTCTCTAATCTGTGTTCAGAACACTGAACTCGAGAACAACTGCATTTAGAGTGCGAATTTTAGCTATAATAAATTCAACAAAGTAACCTTTGAGCGCTTTTACATAATTTCTGAATATAGGGTGACTTTGAAGTTGAGTCAATAATTTTCAGATAATGATTGTAGAAGGAAGATAAACCAAAATAAAAAAATAAAAAAAAAAATTTACCTTGTTTTATAAACTATCCTCCCGACAAGTATTTCAGTGCGGACCTGTATTTGATCGTGAGGTCTTGGAGCACCGGCATGCCGTCACCTGATTCACGAGCCCGTTGTACTACATTAATAAAGGCACGAGGGGTTGCTTGCACTCGATTGGGAAACCGATCCGCATAAACATGTGCCAGTTTTTATTTCGTTTGAGCCACGCAACAGACACCACTGTTCACTTACGCGTTACCGACTGACACTGACTGTATACAAATGAATAAAATAATTGTAAAAACATAGTTCCAAATTCTTTCGCTTTTTTGTTTCCGATGCGATAAACCGATAAGGCGGATTATATCCGTTGTCGCCAAACACGAGCACATGATATTATTATTGAGACAGGGCGGTACTCATACTTCCAAAGGGCTATAACTTTGTTACTTTAATTTTACCAGAAAAATGGTAAAGGAAAAAACATTTCTTTTGATCAGATCTACTCACTGTTAAAATAAATGACTCAACTTCGAAGTCACCCTGTATGTACAGCTTTACACTATTTGATAGATTACTACAGTGGACCTACGGTAATCCGACGAACATTATGCAGGGCAGTGTCGGACCATCGAATTTGTCGGATTATAGAGCACTGCCTAAGACGGAATTTTTTACAAAAGAGTACCTTGTAATCCTACAAATTACATATCCAATGGTAAGATTGTATATGTTATGTATATGTATGTGCTTTGAAGTACAAATCATACATAGTTAATGTATGTCGAATTTAGTAAACTAAATAACAATAGAGATCTTACGTTTTATTATAGAATTGAGCATAAATGCACATAATGTACCAAGATAATCAAGAATTATTAATCAAAATCATTAATGAATTTATCAAATTATAAAAATTGGAAATATTCATAATTTTTTTTTGTTTAAGGTTGTTATAACGCGAGATCAGAGCTTTGTTCCTCAGTCTTCTCAAAAGTAAAAGTTCGTTGTAGGATGTACCATTCTCTTCAGCCCATTGTAAACCTAGCTCAAAGGCGTTAATTGCGTCCTGTGCTGTGACTTGTGGAGCAGTTGCAATCACGTCGTCGTTATTTTCCTGATTGTTTGTTGTCTAATTCAAAACCTCTTTTATAATCTCTTCGTCAGACATTTCGTGAAAAACATTTTCCTCTTTATCCATTCCACGGCACCAGATTTCCAAATATTCCGGACTTATCTGTCTTTCAATAGCGACTTGTTCTATAACTTCCGCAGTAACCCTGATTTGTGGAACGTTGCTAGGAGTGGTGACTATATCTGGACATAACTTTTTCCAAGACGATTTAATACGGTAACGCATTCCACGACTGACAAAGAGCAAAAACCAGGTCTTTCATACTAAATTCTTTTAAAGTTTTTTCTATTGGTTGGTCTTTTGATACGGCTCACAGAAGTAGGTTTTTCTTATAGTCTTGCTTGACAAACTGAATGATATTCTGGTCCATTGGTTGAATCAGTGCAGTGCAATTTGACGGAAGAAACATCGCAGTGATACGTTTATCCTCAGTTGTTAGTTCTTCTTCAGACGGATGACCGGGAGCTTTATCAAGAAGCAACAACGCTTTTTCAGGAAAATTATGATGTTTTAACCATTTTCTAACTTCAGGTACGAAGCATTCATCAAATCACTTTTTGAAAAGGTCTTTTGTCATCCATGGACTTTTTTGTCCGTAATAGTGTACTAGTGTACAGGTAAATTAATGTTTTTGAATGCCCGTGGTTTATTATATTTCCCAGCATTAGCACCTGGTATTACGGTTTCACGCTCTTTTCTTACTTTTCGTCCAGGTACGGATATTTCGTTACAAGAAACGAAAGTTTTGTTAGGCATCACACGTCAAAAAAGCCCTGATTCGTCTGCATTGTACACCTGTGACGGGTAAAGATTTAAATCGTTCACCTTTTGCAAAAATCTTCATTTAAAGGGCTCTATGCAGGTGGCATCATTAGAAAGTTTCTTTCCTGTAATAGTCATTAAACGTATGCCATGACGACTTTTAAAACGTTGTAGCCATCCTTTGCTGGCCACAAAATCATCTTTTTTGTTATTTCCTTATAAGAAAACTTGGCTTTCATGGCCAACATGGGTCCTGAAATCGGTGCATGCCTATTTCTTTCCTGAAGTAACCACATGTACAAAGCTTCTTCCACTTCTGGATGTTCAGCTTTTTTGAGTGTCTGTCTCTTGCCTGGCCCGCAGTCAGTAGTTGACAGGCACTTCTTGATCTTCTTGTGGTTTCTTTTAATGTCATAAATTGTAGATCGGCCTACGCCGTATTCACTTGCTAAACTACTGAAAGTTTCATTGCGATTTAAGCGGTCTAGAATATCTTATTTTTCTTTAATTGTCAATGTTTTTTGCTTTCGCCTCTGAGTTTGTGATGACATTACTAGGTCCTATACTTAATACACAATGAATAAATAGTAATAGCGGTGGCGCGTACAAGTTGTAACCTGTTCAAACCTGCGCGATCTACATTAGCGAAGATTGTCAAATACGTATGTATGTAATACATATTCATGTCGGATTACAGGGGGTGCCAGATTAGACAGGGGCCTGATTATCGGGAGTCCACTGTATATGTTTTTACTACATCAGCGACTCGATTATTTAATCCTATATCAGTTCTAGTAGGAATCTGGTACAAATTATTACGTGATCTTGTTTCATCGTCATGTACATCATGTGTGACCAGAATGTTTGTATTACACTTTTGTTGGTTATTGAAAACGTTGAAAATCGTTTTACATTGTTTCAATTCCAACAGCTTATCTAGCTTACAAAAATTCAATTCTGTGTGCATACTATCCGTGTTGGCAATATTCTATTTTGGGAAACGTGTGCTTTATGAAATTCAGTTTTACCACACATTCCCCATATAGGTAACATATATCTAAAGTGTCCCAAGAAAAATGCATTATAAATGTTTATTTTACGTTTTGCAGTTAAGTAGTCTCTCCTGCGGCACAAAATAGACCATTTCAAATTCTTATCGATAATTAAGACCAGGTATTTGTGATGCTTGATACATCGTCTACTTTAAAGTTATTTATGCTGGTACAAAAGTTTTCAACTGTTTTATTCTTCTGTTTAAAAATTATAAATTAGATATTTTGTTTTACCGATGCTGACCTTCGGTTTATTCGAACACAGCCATTTACAGTAAAGAGCAAGATCATAGTCAAATTCGTAACGCAGAGCCTGTTCACGATTTACCCTATGAAGAAGAACTGTGTTGTCAGCAACAGTAAAATACCTTGCATTAAAATTAGTACCATCTAGAGTTAGCACTCAAGAGAATATACAGGGTGTTCCTTAATGATATGCGAAAATTTAAGGGTTTGAATCTAAATGAAAAATTAATGTTAGTTTGCTTTATGAACTGTGGTCCCAAAATGTTTCCTTACAAAAACTCGGAGTGTTGAGGTTTTAGGAAAAAAAATAGAAACTAATTAATGTTTTCAGAACCGCATGGGTATTGACTTCGACATTTTTTAAGAAGAAAATGGTACGCCAATGTTTTTTTGCCAAATAAAAATTATTTTTGACTTCCCCGTTCAGTTTAAAACAAATGATCTGTCTTGAATTGTTTTCCTTGATGCGCCATTTTTGAGTAATAAAATAAAAACCGTTCCATTGTCCAACTTGCAAAATTATTATTAATTATTTGGAAAAATTAAACACATTAGGGGTAATGAACAATAACAACTGATAACATAAAAATAACATGAGAACCAACGGAGTGACTACAAAAATTGTTGAAAATACCCCGCTTGACTTAGAATGCATGCTTCCGCCCTCCTTCTCACGGAATCGCGCACTCGTTGAAAGTAGGTAGGGTTTGTCTGTTCTAGAACGCCCTTGAGAGTCGACCTTGGGAGCCAACCTTGAACGCATATTTAACCTTGAAATATAGCCTTGAAATGCGACCTTGAATCGAAATATAGCCTTGAAATATAACCTTGAAATATTACCTTGAAATATAGCCTTGAAATGTGACCTTAAATCGAAATATGGCCTTGAAATATAACCTTGAAATATGACCTTGAAATGTAACCTTGAAGTCGTGAGTGGTAGAAGGTATGACCTTGGAAATATGTGTTTAAATTAGTGCAGCGCTCGGAGAGGAGGCAGTTGTTAGCAGACAGCACGAATCAAACAATGAGTGCAAGACAAACATTTAAGTTGCCGACGGTGTGGGAGGGGAAGCCGGTGGCGGTTATACGCCCACTCAACAGAATACATCCTGAAGAAGAAAATTGGGACGACCCATGGCCCAGAACACCCATGGACACCACACCGGTTAGCCGATATGGAGTCAGGAATCCGGCGCCGGAAGTGGCAGTGGAAGAGAATTGGGATGATGAAGCAGGTTCTAATTCGGATCAGTTGATTCAGGTGCCCATGCAGAGAAGTATACCTCCAGGCATGGGTCGTGGTGCGAGACTAAGAAGGATTATACAGGAGGGAAGGAGATTGCGACAGGTGCAGCAGTGAAGGAAGCAGGGTTTCAGAGGGTGGAGGTATTGTTGGCAAACGGAAGCAAGGTTTAAGAGAGTGGAGACAATGTTGGTAGAAGGAAAAAGTAGTGGGGTGACTAAAAAGTGCACCAGCAAAAGTAACATGTGCAATGAAGGTGAACATATAAGTATTATTCCAAAGACCGTATCCTTCAACGAAACAAAAAACAAAGTACATATCATGTATGCATGGCAATATGCATATAGAGAAGCTCGAAGAAGTAACGGGGAGATGGCAGATAGATGTAGGTTTCAAAGGCGAGTGCAACTAGTCGAAGAAGTGTTAAAAAAATACTTGACAGTAGATTATAGGCAAACAGTGTTTACAGAAAGGTTTAAAGTGTAAATTATTAAAGTGGAGGTATGTCTGTGATATGTATAAAAGTAGTAAGAAGTAGGTTTAGTAAAATTTCGAGTATGTAATGTAAAAATAGAGGGGAAGAAGCAACGCTTTGATGTATTTATAAAATAATAAAGATTGTAAGATAGGAATATTGTGTAGTGTTATGTGGGAGGAAGGGGTAAAAAATACATTAAATGAAGAAACATATGTTTATTGACAAAAATTATGACATGATGAAATTTTCATACAAATAAAAAACGTTAGACATCGCACACATGCAAATATCTGTTGTATGGTAAAAACACTTCGCCGGTGAAGGGGTGAGGCGGGGCTGCTCTTCAAGCTCGATTATTGGTTTGCTGGTGAAGTTTCTCAGGTAGGCTGCTTTTTCACGTCCTTTCACATAAATTCTGTCTGCCCCATCCGCAATATGTTTAATAATGTTTCCAAACTTATGTAGGGGTGTAAACCCTGAATTCCAGGAGATACCATGGTAATTATCAGTCAACCACTTCGCCTGAATCTTCAACGGTGGTGGCAGCAGATCCCAAGGAAAAGGAGCTTTGAAAATATAATGACATAACCTAACACCATCATAGGCGCAAAATTCTTTTGCGAGAAATTTATTATTTTCAATTTTAAATCTTTGAACATCCAAAACGACACTCATATTTGTAAGTTGGAGAATTTTGTATATAGAATGCGTCTTTGACAATAGGAATTGAGTGCTTCTTTCAAACTTTGCAATTTCTGATAATACTCTCTGAGAGCTTGTCTGTAGGATGATGTCATAATGAGAATGAAGGAGATTTAGTCTGAACAAAGATATTTATACAGGGTTATCCAAATTAAGTGTCCACCATTAGTAACTTTGTTATTAGTGAAAATACAAAGTTGTTTGAATTAGCAAACTAGTAGCATTTTTAACGCTGGTAAAAATGAGAAATAAAAAAAAACAATTGAGAGTCGTTATTTTGATTTTTTTCAGTACAATAACATTTTTTTAAATGGAAACCCCTGTATATTATATTTTTTTCTGTTAAAGCATCAAATTTTAAACAAAAAAGTTCATAATGACTTTTCCGCTAAAGTCAAAAATAAAGTCAAAATAACGATAAATATTTTTAATTATTTGCAGTATTATAATATTAAGACGGCTATGAAAACAACATGGCGTTCGCGATTTGACAGCATTAAGATAAGCGACAAATTGTTAAACTGGACATACTCGCAACTAGAAGGCTTTGGAAAACAATGATAAAATCAAATAATGTCAAACATTAGTGTAAATACTTGTTTATAAGCTTTATTGTGTCATTAATTTAAAGAAAAATGTTCTCCCATGAAGAAAAGTGTGATATGTTAGAATGCTATTTAGTGTGCAGAAAATCCTCCTACAGTGAATTATATCCCGCTCGCATTCAACCGTATGAACGATATTTTCTGAGACTTTATCGAAAATTTAGGGGCAACGAAAATGTTTTTGCTAAAACAAGGGCAAAAAAAGAATTCATAATAAGCGAGGCCACGGAAATTGCAGTTATTGGATATTTTGAAGCTTATCGTGAGAATTCAATAGCAGATATTCTCAAGGACTCTAATTTCAGTTATGGTACTGTTCAAAGGATTTTAAAAAAATACAAATTTATTCCGTATAAGTACCGACCAGTTCAAACGCTTTTGGCAGGGGATCCAGAGAGAAGACTTGTTTTTTGCCATTGGTATCTTAGCTTCTGTCGCCAAAATGTAAATAACTTTCGTTACCTTTTACGGACAGATGAATCAAATTTTTCAAATTCTGGAATGTTTAATAGCAAAAACCACCATTATTGGTCAAGAGAAAATCTTTTGTTAGTACATCCAAGAGGCCCACAAGTCCGTTTCAGTTTCAACGTTCGGTGCGGTATAAGTGGTTCAAAAATTGTTGGCCCGTTCTTTTATGAGGGAACCCTAACTGGTGAAAGATAAGTGGAATTTATGTCAGAAATTCTGACTAATTTCTTAGACGAATTGGATCTTATAAGTAGACATCATCTGCATTTTCAGCAAGATGGCGCACCTGCCCACAACTCCAGAGGTACTTATCATTTTCTAAGTACTACTTTTAATGATCAGTGGATAGGAACAAATGGCCCAATACAGTGGCCTCCCAGATCACCAGATCTAAACCCACTTGATTACTTCTTGTGGGGTTACTTAAAGAACCAAATTTACAAGCGAAGGTACGATAACCTTGACGCGTTAAAGACTGCAGTTAGGGAAAAGATAACCCAGATAGATGGTAGGACCATACTTAAGACAGTTCGAGCAGTTGAAAAACGTGCCCAAAAATGTATTGAAGAACAAGGTGGTGTTTTCGAGCATCTTCTTTAAAAAAAATTGTTATTGTATTTTGTAAGATTATAAGTTGATGTTGAAAATAAAGTTTGTCGATACAATT